GGGGGGGGGGGGGGGGGGTGGCCACACAGCAATCCCTTCTCCATTCTCCTCTTGAGATTTTGGCCCCCCACACACAAGCACCTAACATGAGCTTCAAGCTGCTAGGTCCAGGACTTGAACTGCTGTTGGCCATGTGAGAGTCCACCACCTTAACCATTATGCCATCTACTGCCCCCTATTTTGGAATCTTAATCCCATGTGATAGGATTTAGAACTGGGGCCTGTGGAGGTAATTGTCATCAGGTGGAGCGTTCATGAATGAACTTAGTTTATAAGAAGTCAGAAATCTAAGAAATAAGTCAGAAATCTAGTGAACTCTCTTTTAACCAAATGAGGATAAGGAGGAACAGTCTTTCTGTAGACTGGAAAAGGGTCTACAGTAGAACCTGACCAGGCTAGCCTCCTGATCAGACCTCTAGCTTCTAGAACTGGAGAAATGTTCATTATTTAAAGCACCCAGTCTATGGTAATTTGTTATAGTAGCCTGAACTGACTGAGACTTCTGGTAAGGAAGATGAGAATCTGGTTAAATGTGGACTGTTGTTCCCTCTCCCTGTCCCCCAGTTCAGTGGTAAGAAACTCCACGGCACACTGCTGTGGCTGGACACAGAGGTTCTTTTTCCCTCACCCTCCACTAGAAGGAGAAGCAGGACTGCAGTGTTTCCCATCCTACCCCAGCTTTCTGTTTCTGAGGCTACATCCCAGGAGAGTGTGGTCAAGTGGTATTGGCTCCTTCCATCCAACCTATTAGGTCATCAGGAAAGTCGTGACATATTTTTCTATGTCTTCCATGCAAAAATACGTCACGACTTTCCTGACGACTTTCCTGATGACCCAATACATTTACAGACAGGAGACCCTACCTTGAGCATGACACGCTGAAAGAAAATACTGGAGGAAATACCATATCAGAAAAGGAGATGACATTTCACACTCAACAAGATGATCATAATAAAAAAGAAAAAATAGTAAGTGTTGGTGAGATTGGATGTGGGAAATCTGGACCCCAATATATCTTCTCATGCAAATGTAAAATGGTATAGATGTTTTAGAGGACAGCCTGGCAGTTCCTCAAAAGGTTAAACGTAGAGTTCTCACCTGACTCAGCAATTCTATTCCTAGGTACAGGCCTGGAAGAACTGAATGGTTCTGTTTATGTGAAGTATTCAGAATAAGCACATTCATAGTAACATAAAGTAGAATGGTTTTTGTTGCCAGGACCTGGGAGAGACAGGGATAGGCCATGACTACCAATGGTTATGAAGTTTCTTTTTGGGGCAATAAATATATTCTGGAATCAGTAGTGGTAACTGTTGGACAAATTTATGAATATGAAATTCCATTGAAGTGATACTTTAAAAGAGTAGATTTAATGATATATTAATTATATCTCAAAAGAGAGAGAGAAATAGCTACTTTTGTCTGGTGTTACACCTTAGGAAATCACTTGGTAAGCTGCAAGCGATGTCAACCAAAGACTAATGTCTTACCTCGGTTCCTGTTTCTCTCCAGTCCCAGGCCCGACTGCCTCCCGGCCATACTTTGCAGTCCTTATAGGTTGTAGAAGAGCCTTGTACTTTCATTTGCCCCCATGAGAGGGAAGCAATTTCAGGGGAAGACATAAAGCACTTAACCGAAATCTGAAAATAAAAGAAAAATATACTTAGTTATAAAATCAGGTTGAGTTGAGAGAGTTCCAAGATAGACATTAAGCCCCGATTCTCTACAATGAAAGAATCTTTCGGGACCAGCAGGTGGCGTGATGGTTATGTTGCTGGACTCCAACGTAGTCCATCACGGTTTGAATCCCGGATGCAGCAGCTTTAAACTCACGCTGGGCGCGTGTGAGTACATGCCCAAAGTCCTGAGAGGAGAATGGAGAAGGGATTGTGGTGTGTCGTTCCTCCTGGGGTGGTGGGGGGGGTGATTTCTCACTTTCTGTCTCTCTCTGTCTCTCTGGCGAGTGCACAGGCAGCACTATAGCAAAAATTTCTCTTAAAAAAAAATTTAAAGAAGCATCTTTCTCATTTATGTGGTTATCACTCTTTTCCTAGAGGTCTACGAAGTATTATTCTTGGGCTCCTGAATCATCCAACCATGGAAACCAGAAACTGCAATTACTTTTCAGACTCTGGAGGGAATCCTCAGGATATTTTTTATGAGATAAAATTAAAACGTGGAATTTTCTTCAGCATGGTAGAGGGAGGAGATTGACACATCTTCTTCCCAGAGAAAAACTATAAAGTTAGAAAAAAATCTGTCAAAAACCATCGTTACTCTAGAGATAAAATTAAAGACCACAAACTGAGAGGTGCTTACTCACGAAAACCACTGAGTTTCAGGTATGCAGTCGGTTCTGTTGTCTAGGACTATTCTCGTTACCCCCTCCAGTGCTGGTGGCACTGAAGTTCGACTAGACTGGGCCAAGTCGGCCTCGCTGCTGCTGCCAGAGGAGGCTGCCACTGTGAGCCAGTCATCTGAGGGCAGGCAGTCGTGGACGGCAGGTGACCCCGCCCGCCTGATGTTGCCTGTTTGGGGCAAGCAATAGATCCACGGACTAGGGAGGAATTTCACAGGAATCTCCCAGAGGTGACACAAGTGAGGGAGCCTTATAAACCCTCCAGATATCCCAGGTAGGCCTGAGGCTGACAGTATATGCATCACAGGCCTGAGTAGCCCTGTCACCTAAATATTCTGAGCAAATATGCAGAGCACGTGCAGTGAACTAAGAAAGCTCAAGAGGACCTAGCAGAATGTAAAAGCCAGTGAAAAATGTAACACCCAGACCCCTGAATATACTCTCAATGCATGCACTGATCCATTGGTAGAAAGTCTTCAGGGTCAGCAGGTGGCATGATGGTTAAGGCACTGAACTCCCACCTAGCCAACCACAATTCAAATCCTGGACCTGGTGGCTTGCTTTCTCAGATTCTCTCTCTATGCCTCTCTCTGATGAGTGCATGTGCCCTATAGCAAATTAAATAATAATAATAACAATACACAACATAATAGTTCTTTGGAAAAAAAGAAAATCTTCCTGGCTCAACTTTTATTAGTCTTTGTTGAATACTAAATTATGCAGACATAGAGGAAACCCCAGGAACAGCAGGCTTAAAAATAAAAATATAGGAGGGGCTGGCAGGTGGCATGGTGGGTAAGGGCACTGGACTCCCACACGGCCAACTGCGGTTCAAGTCCTAGACCTGGCAGCTTATTCTCTCCCTCTCTCTGCCCTGCTCTGCTCAAATTAAAATAAATAAATAAAGTTAAATAAAATAATTCTTAAAAAAAAATCCACACACGCACAGGAAAAAACACAAAAAACTGAACAGAGGCTTCAGTGGCCCACTGCCTAAGATTCAGAATACACAGTGTTATTGGTATGGTTTGAATGTCTGTCCCTTCCCCAACACATTCTGAAATTCAATTGTCATTTTAACAGTAGTAAGAGGTGGGAACTTTGAGACATGATTAGGCCATGAGGGCTTTCTCTTCATGAGTGGATTAATGCCATTATCATGGGAGTGGGTTTCTCATAAAAGGACAAGCTCAGCCCCCTTTTTTTCTTTTTTGAGAGGTTTTTGCTATAGGGTGCGTGCGCTCCCCAGACAGACAGAGAGAGACAGAAAGCGAAAAATCATCCCCCAGGGGAGATGGCCACGCCTCAATCCCTTCTCCTCCATTCTCCTCTCAGGATCTTGGGCACGCACACACACGTGCCTGGTGTGAGTTTAAGCCACCAGGTCTGGGACTCGAACCACGGCCGACTACGTGGGAGTCCAGCTACATAGCCATTACGCTAACTACTGGAGGCTCAGCCCCCTTTTGTCTCTCTCTGTCTCTCTTTGCTCTTCCGCCATGATGCCCTCTGCCGTGGCAGGATGCAGCAAGAAGGTCCCTCCCAGATGCTGCCCCTTGAGCTTGGACTTTCCAGCCTTCAGAACTGTGAGAAATTTCTTCTCATTAGGAATTACCCAGTTTCAGGTATGCTATTAAAGCAGCCAGAACAGACTAACATTTGGTTGCAGGCAAGTGACTGAACATAAACACACAGGACCAGCCCTGCAGCACACTGGCTCAGTGCTGTACGTGGGGAGCCAGACCCCACGGAGTTGAATGCAGTTCCAAGCCCAGCCCCAGTAGCTTGCAAAACATGCTAGGGGTGTGTGTGTGTGTCCCCACTCAAAATACTAATGGGATGGAGAAATGGAGGAAGAAATACTCCATGACCCTATGACCACACCCATAGTGGCCTGGGATTCAAACTAGACAGTCATGTGGGATCTGGCTCCAGAACACACTTTAATCACTGTGCTAGAAGATGCAATGCTTTGTAGAAAATACGATGAATGCTGCTGCTTTTGGGGGAGTATAAGAATGTGAGTCTGATGTAGAAAATAAAGCATAATTATTATGCCAGTGAAAGAAGCATGGTGGTTTAAATAATATAAAAACTTAAATTCCAGAAGTAGTAAAAATGGCAGGAATGACCAGGGAGCAGTTTGCTTCCAGATTTCAGCTTTATGACCTTGAAGATGTGGCCTTTGCCCTGAAGGTCTAATATGGAACTCTAGCTATGACATCCATGTTCCGAGCAGAAAGAAGAGAAAAAGGAGAATGGGGCAAGAGGCATATACCAGGTGTCCTTCAGGAAATTTTGTGGAAGGTTTCAGAGAATGTTTTTGCTTGCTTCTTATTTGCCAGAATATAGCAGCATGGCCACACTCAATTGCTGAGCAGGCTAAAATATGTACTATTTATTCCAAGAGGCAGTATGCCAAGCTGAGTATGAGGGATTCCAAGAGGGGGATGATAGACACTGGGAGCTACTAGTTGCTAAGTTGTTTTTTTGTTGTTGTTGTTGTTGCCAAAGGGCATGTGTGTTTGCTTGAGAGAGAGAACACCCCCAGGAGTACTGCCATGCTGTAATCCCTTCTTCATTCTCCCCTTGGGATTTTGGGCATGAACCCCCACCCCCACCCCGCACATACACACACAAATGTACCTGGTGTGTTTTTCAAGCTGCTGGATCTGGGACTTGAACAGCATAGTTGGCCATGTGGGATCCAGGTACCATAACCACCATGCTATTAGCTATCCCTTGTTCTGTCTTTTTTTTTTTTTTTTCCTTAAAGACAGAGAGACAGAAAGCGAGAAATCACCTCCCAGGGGGGATGGCCACGCCACAATCCTTTCTCCTTCATTCTCCTCTCGGGATTTTGGGCATGCACGCACATGCGCCTGGCATGAGTTTAAGCCGGCGGGTCCGGGAATCGAACCACGGTGGACTACATGAGGTTCAGCAACATAGCCATTATGCTAATTGCTGGTCCCACCTTGTTTTGTTTTTTAATGCTGGAGGGTGCATGCATGAGTACAAGAGAGAACCCCCAATAAGGGGTTCAAGTCATGGTTCATCTTTTTTTTTTTAATCATGGCTTAACACACACAAACACACATGCACACTTCATATATATATATGCATGTGCATATATAATTCATGAACGATGTTTATCATGAAATAATACTTACCCTTACTATATGTGATATACTGTGATACTTTCTGTTCTATTCTTAGTCCTTTTAGTTTTTACATAATCCCTTTCTTGAGCCACCAAATTGATTTAAAAAACCCACTAATGGGTCACATCCCACAGTTTGAAAAGTACTGTTAGGCTAGGAGTCCATTAAATATTTACTAATGCGGACAGCAGGAGCATTACCTGCATCGACCTGGAAGTGGAGGGCGGCAATAGGGCCTGCTCGGTACACATCACACACTCAGTCCCACGTTGCTTAGGCTTGGAGAGCTGTGGGAGAGAGGCTGAGTAGCCACTGTGGCCAGGGGTACCTAGAGGCTCAGCGCAGAGTGGCCACTTTGCAATCGGCATGTAAGTACGGTATCAATATTTTAACAGCCAGCAGTCTTCCTGGTGATAGCGGTGACTATCAGTCCTTCTGTAGGATACCAAACTGTATTGCATGGTCCCTGTTTTCAGTTATCTAATAATAGGGTTAAAAATATAGACACTGGGTAGGCAGGTGGCGTGGTGGTTAAGGCACTGGACACTCCTACGTGGCCGACCATGGTTTGAGTCGCAGACCTAGTGGCTTGCTTTCTTACTTTTCTTCTTTCTCTGTGTCTTTTTCTGGTCAAATGAAAATGACTGACTGAATAAGTAAAATTAAATAATTCCTTAAAAAAATGTAGACATAGTGCTGTAATACAAAGTATAACATAATGTTTCGAGTAGTCCGCTATCACTTTTTTTTTTTTTTAAAGTAAAAATATTCCTACAGGAAAACATTTTGGTCATGTTTTTAAGAGAATAGACGAATGTATAACTCTTAAGAAAAAAGATAATGATTAAGGCATTTCTAAAAAGTGCCTCCATGAAGGAATAGAATTCTGTTGTAACGCAGAGTCAGTTATCACCTAGAGGAAGAGACATAAAATGTTGGTTTATAGGTCACGCCCAGAGACCTCGCTGACTTGGATGGGTACATGTGCCCATGAGCCATGGCAGGCTGAAGCTGGAAGTGAATGACAGGACTGCTCTCTCTCGCTCATGGAAAAACTAAGTAAACTTAAAAAAATAACCCTTCTTTATAGTAAGACTTCTATTTGTTTTCATATTAA